AATGCTAGATACCAAAGTAACCCAAAAATAAAATATAGAAAAGTTATAAAGAAAGAGATGAGATATATGTAGGGAATAAAAGACTACATTTTTCACATACAAGAGATCAAATCAGTTTTAAGTAATGAGATATTAAGATGTTGATTTTATAAATTATTTCAGTAATTGGAAGTCCACTTTAGGATTTATATTCATGTTAGCTGGAGAGATAATTTTTAAAAAAAATCTAAAATAATTACTTATTACATCATCAATAATAGAATATAAATTTAAGGTATGCTTTGAGGTCACAAATCAAGTTTTATAGCTGTGAAATTTCTTTTCTAGACTTGGTATAGTCGATTTAATTGCTAGGTTATTGAAGATATTTTGTGATAATATTGTATTAGTTTTCTTCTCTAAAAATGACAAGTAGCCTATTGGTTTCAAGTAGATAAAATACTTCATGATCAAATAAATGATTTAAAAATAATAAGTACCAATTGAGAACCTAAGTATCACTTTGATGATTATTGATCTATTTACTAAAATTTTACAACTAAAAGTATTTAAAGAATATGTTATTTTATTTACTCAATTAAAGTTTTTTATCTTATTTATATTTATGTATATGTATATTATAGTCAAATGTGATATTAAGATTGTCTTTGTAATATAAATTATAGAGGTTATTATAAACTATATTATGAATAACTAACAATATTATGGTACATAAAAATAAAAGAGAGTATAACATTTATGATATACAACTACTATAACTCACATTGATAGCCTTATTGACTTATTTTAAAATTTATGATCATATTTAAAATATTTTTTTAATTTTTTAAATCTAATTAGGTAAAATAAAATTTTATTTTAAATTATTTTTATATATTTTATCAATTAATGAGCTAAGTCAGAGAATGTTAGATCTTGTGATCGTATAAGATATATTATATATCACATTAGATTCTGATTATGATTATTAATTAATAAAAAAAATCTGCTTGTAGGGAGATACATTAGCAATGAACTATGAGATTACATATATATATATATATATATTATCGTCTCTCTCTAGCTCTTATTTTATCGCTAATAGTGCATTCTCAGATAAAAAAAAGTTGAATGATATCAAAACATATATGTGCATCTAATCTTTGATATATAATTATTAGATTTTAAGTCTTGATATTAATTTTTTTTAATAATAATATAACTATAATTTTTTAGCCTTAGGAGTCATAATATAAAAAATTAACCCCATATAGAAAGATAATTATCTTATTTAATCACATAAATCGACCGCTAATGATAACATCAACACAATCCATCGCTTAAAGCTTTAAATTATAGACACGAACCCTGCAAATTCCAATGTGAACATAATATACGCATCATTTTGCACAAGATAATAAAAAAAGAGGATTTGGTGTTGATTTGAAGTCTCACCGGAATTATTTGAAAACATGTTAAAAACATTTGATCCCCTAACGTTGTACATCGTGAACAGTCCCATTTGGGTGTCGACAAACTGTTCACGTTCACATTTTTCTTTCCTTTTGTTGTGGAAAAAGAGCTGACCGAGAAACCAAAACAATGGCAAAAAGGGGAAGAAGTGTGCCTCTTGACTGGATCGTTTACCTAATTAATTATTTAATATTAATTTCATATCACTGTCGATATTTTATTATATTTGTTACTCTTTAGTTATCTCAATATATCTCTTCCGTTTCTATCATTTTCTTTCTCAATACGTTAAGATTACTTATATAGTGTTTACTACTTTTTAATGTAATATATAAATTATATTTATTTTACTAAAAATATTAAAATCTACGATCTTCTATTCGGTTTTAACGGCGATGCAGTGATCCAAGAGAGTAACTATGCCTGTGACGGTGACAGAATAGGGGGAGAGGAGATGGACGCCGTCACGCTCAGGCCGAGAAATATCAGCGGTGGGGCAGATCCACGTTGCTGTCTCCGCTTCTCTATCACAGTTACGTGCGCGACTCCATCACACTGCCTTGCCGCTCCACGTTTAAGTAACGTGCCGCGGTGGCCTCGTAGTCTCCTTTGCCGTGCGGCCTCCGCGAGTACCACGCCGCCTTCCCTTCCGTCCTTGGCTACGCAGCTCTCGGCTTCCTTGGCATATTTATCATTGCAACCCATGAAAATTACATTACATAGCATACATACTTGTTTAGATATGGATATGTAAATTTAAGGATACATGCGAATGCGGCTTTACTCCGAAGGATATACACGTGCTTATTCACACTAGCGAAGTAGCGTGTCCTCAGGGAGCCACCAATCAGAAGAGGATATCTGCTCGTCGGTCGGCACTGGCGGGTCCCATGTCTATCTGGAGAATCGGGCTCACTCGGATTGGTGCGAGAATAGGGGAGTCGGAAGGATATACTTACCCACACAGTCAGGATCGAGCCACCAATCAGAGAAAGGATGCCTCCTCATCGGTCGGCAACTGCGGGTCCCAGTCGATCTCGAAGACCGCGCGATCCAATAGGGGTGCCGTGCCGGGTTCGAAGGAAGTGCATGCAAAGACTGGCGTTCATCCAACACGCGCCGAAGTATCGTGTCCGGATCGAACCACCAATCAGAAAAAGGATGCGTCTTCAAATCGGTCGGGACGCACATCCATTTCGAGGGCGCGTGCTTCTGTGAGTGGTGAGGAGACGCGGTACCCGCGGGCAACGGCCAAAATTGCGGTCTTGCCCAGGAGGGCCCCGCGTTCGCGATCGTACTCTGTAGCGTGCACATTTCTCGCGTGACGTGTCGTATGTCATGTCGTGTCCGGCTAACACGAGCCACCAACTCGCCTTCGCTTCCTTCGTTGCGCAAGTCTTCCCTCCCTCTTCTTCTTCTCCATCCCGACCACGCAACGTAGAAAAGGCAAACGATAACACCTCCCTCAGCTTGTGCGGAACACGTCACCAATCAACAGCCAATTAAATATCGTATATATATAAATGATTCCACGTACTTAAATAAATTTTAATCTCAATTAAATGATGGGTATCAATGATTATTTGAGAGTAGTGAGATGGCGAACATATCAATGAAGGATTAAGAGTTGAAGGGATAAATACTTTATATATGTAAAAATTATATAGGGTAAGTTTTATAAAATAAATATCTGTTTTATTTTCTTTCCCACAGAGTTCCGTAGATGGTTTTTTTCTCATAAAGTAACTCTTACTTTTTCAAAATAATAAAAAGTAACCATCAATCACTCTCTTACCATTTTCCTCTCTTTCAGAACTCAAAATGGTCCAAAATAAAAGATAGTAGCCAATAAATTAAATAATATTAATATATTTATTTATATTAATAAAATAAAATTAAAAATACATAATTAATGTATAGACATAAACATTATACAAATAATGTCCTATCAAATAATAAAATATTTTTAAAGCAATATTTTAAATAATAGTTAAAACGAATAGGGTAAATAAAAACTCAAAAATACAAAATAAAAATCATTTCTAAGTATATTATGCAGTAATTTTTCATATTATAATATCTATTAATTTCGTACTCAAAACCTTATCTTTATGATTTTGATATAACTTAATTAAAATAAATCAAAAACCATGTAACTCAAGTAAAAAACTATATCTATTTTAAGGCTTAAAAGATCATTTAGACATTCATAAGTCATTTTCAAGGTTTAGTTAAAATTTGATAATTTTGGAAAATTAGACCAGAGTTATATTATTTTAGAATGGAGTTATACTACTATAAACACAATGCAATCTCATTAAAAAATAGTGTAAACTCATGTCTCTAAAAAAAAATAGAACTTTAAAAAGCATTCTCTGAAAATACTTAATTAGTTTTTGGTCCAAAGTAATTGTAAATTCATATTAAATTAATTTTTTTGAAAAAATAACATAATTCAAACTTTTAATGTTTGAATAGATAAAGCTATTTATATTAAATATTTAGAAATAGATATATTTTTCAAAGTTTTTTGAAAATTTTAGCATTTTTGTAAAAAGTTAGATAGTGACTGACTTATATTGTTTCCAAATGAGATTACACTATTTTTGAATGAAACCCAAAAATAATGTATGTCAATTTATAAGTAGTATAACTTAGGTCTTCAAAATATTTTTCATCTTCAGAATTTCAGAAAATCTTCTATGATAATACTCAATTGTTTTTTTGATCAAAGGTGATTGTAAATGCACCTTAAATTGGATAAAATTTTTAAAATAACATAATTTAAAGTTTTTAAGGGCTAAAGTAAACAAGAATATCAATTTTGAATCCATAAAATAGAAAAAACAATTATTTACGTCATTATAGCTCATTTTCAAGGCAATTTCAAATTTGAAATTTTTCAAAAAAAAATGAATAGTGAGTTACAATATTTTTAAATAGGACAAAAAGAACAGTATAATTCAAGTCCTCAATTTTGTTTTCCTTGAAACTTCGAAAAGCTTTTCTGATAATATTTATGTTTTAAACAAAATGATTATAAATTCATCTAAATTAAATAACACTATATGTAAATTCACCTTAAAATGGATAAAATTAAAAATAACATAATTTCAAGCTTTTAAAAACTAACATAAATAATAATAAAAATATATTTGAAAGATTTTAAAATAGAAACAATGATCATTTAGGTATCATATAGGCCTTTATAAGCTATTTCTAAGATTTTCTAATTATTTATGAGTTAGACCTTTGCAAGATAACTAATTTTGAATGAGCTTATTTAAATATATATATATATATATATATATTTAACATTTGGATTTAGGTTTAAAGATGGAAAAAAGAGGAAAAAGACATCTGAATGATTGAGGGCACGTTTCTTTAATTGAAAAAGGACTCTCTACTTGGACAAAAAAAAAAAAATTAAAATAGAAATACTCTCCGAGAAAAAGTCAAGAAGAGAAATATTTTTAGGGGATTTGCACTATCGTATATAATAGGAAGACTATACCCACAAGAAAGGATCTCAATATAATATCTGCTCCTCCTCTCTGTATCTCTCGCCTCGCATTCTGTATTCGTTTACCCGCTCTTCTTCTTCTTCTTCTTCTTCGTCATCCTCGCCTCTCGTTAATTCTAGCTTTACCCTCACAAAAGAAGAAGGAAAAGGTAAAAGGAACAGAATGGAGGCGGCGTGCTCGACCTCCTCTTCTCCCTCCCTCCTCACCCTGCACTCCTTACGCCCGTCCTCCGCACACCGCCGCCCCGTCGCCGCCTCTCTCTACCCCACCGCGGCCGGTTTGAAGGCCTCGAGTTCCTCCTCCTCCCTCCTGGTCGAATTTCGACGCCGATCGCTTACCTCCATCCCCCTCCTCCCTTCCCAGCGGTATTGCCACCGACGGCGGTCCAGGCGGGCCATCTCGGCGGTGTTCGAGCGGTTCACGGAGCGGGCCATCAAGACCGTCATGTTCTCCCAGCGCGAGGCGCAGACCCACGGCATGGGTATCGTCTTCAACCAGCACCTCCTCCTCGGCCTCGTCGCCGAGGACAAATCCCCCAGCGGCTTCCTCGGCACCGGCATCACTATCGATCGCGCCAGGGAGGCCGTCCGGGCCATCTGGCCCGATGGGGTTGCCGCTGATCAGGCCACGACGCCCTCCTCCGGGTCATCCACCGGCGTGCCCTTCTCCCTCAACAGCAAGCGGGTGTTCCAGGCCGCTGTCGAATGCTCCAAGAACATGGGCTGCAAGTTCATCGCCCCGGAGCACATCACCATCGGCCTCTTGAACGCCGATGATGGCAGCGTGGCGCAGGTCCTCCAGAGGTATATAATCTCTTTACAGCTTCCAGAATTATCTTTTGGGGGATAGATAGACAAATAATTAATAATCTAAGGACACAAAAAACGCTCAAGTGGCGCTGGAATTTGAAATTAGCACACCTTGATGCTTCCACACTCGTATATTCAATAGAGTCAAATGAGCTTGCTAAATTTGAAATTTTCGTCACATCCATTACGGCAAAATGTAGATCCGGTTTCTCCATTCTAACATCAGATGTCTCTTAGTTAATCGGAGGGACTTTTCTATTAGACTCACCTTTCCTTAATAAGAATGTGTTGCACCTTGAGACTTAATGTTAAGACATCATTGGTATGGAAATGAATTTTAACTGTATCACAAGGAATTGAAAGGACAACTGAATGCATCAGGATCCTGCTAATGTGGGATTTTGGGGAAGGTAAACCAATGGAGCCTTACACCTTACCCTTTTTCCAAGTAGGTAGGCTGCTTATGTGACAAACTCTAGTTACTTAGGATACTAGGAAGCAAGCATACCATGGTGCTAAAACTCATCCTTCAAGTTTGTAGTATTTTATTAATGGAAATTATATATTTTCTTTAGATGGAAATAATGGTTTTTGTTGCCAGAATTTGGGATAACAGTTATACATAAAGAAGCCGCTTACTTGGTTAACATTGAATACATCTTGTCGATTAAATTAATCCTTCAGAAGTACATTTGAGCAGTTTCCATGGGCTTCAATTATCATCTGATAAGTGGTTTGTCATTTTAGTTTGGGAACAGATCTCAGTCATTTAGCATCGGTGGCCCTATCCAGACTCCATGGGGAGCTTGCCAAGGATGGTAGAGAACCAGTGGCATCATCTCAAAAGATGCCAGAGAAATCTCTTGATAGAAAATCTGCAAGTTTGAGGTCTTCAGATAAGACAAAAGGTTGCTGGCCCTCTTCAAGTGCTATCATTTTATGATATCTCATAAAATTTGCTTCTTTGGTATCTTGTAGTATACAAAATTGTTTAAGCTATTATTTTTCTTTTATTTTGTCAGAAAAAAGCCCATTAGCTCAATTCTGTGTGGATCTAACTGCTCTGGCTAGCGAAGATCTCATTGATCCTGTAATTGGTCGAGATACAGAGATTCAGAGAATTGTCCAGATCCTATGCCGAAGGACAAAGAACAACCCCATTCTTTTGGGGGACCCTGGTGTTGGGAAAACTGCAATTGCTGAAGGATTGGCTCTTCGCATTGCTAAAGGAGAGATTCCTTCTTTTCTTAAGGTGTGCTTCTCATGTTTTATGATGAAAATTTCTACTTGTTTGCTTGAATTAGTTGTACTAACATCTTCAGGTTTATTCTTTATGCAGGAAAAACGTATAATGTCACTGGATGTAGGCTTACTGATGGCAGGTGCCAAAGAGAGGGGAGGACTGGAATCCCGAGTTACTGGTTTGATAAGTGAAGTGCAGAAAGCAGGTTAGCTGGAGTATCATGTTATGGTTCTTTGTTCTGTATTTACTGAGTTCTGTCATCAATCTAGATACTTGGACAAATGCAGGTGATATCATACTCTTTATTGATGAAGTTCATACACTGATTGGTTCTGGCAGTGTTGGAAGAGGAAACAATAGTTCTGGTCTTGATATTGCTAACTTGTTGAAGCCTGCCCTTGGTAGAGGTGAATTGCAGGTAGAACACCAAGGATTATTATTGCTTGTTAAAAGATTCTAGTTGACATCACCCTGTATTCATTATCCATTGGCCATTATGATTCAGAGAGGATGTATCCGTAGAGGATCTTATTTACATGAATCGGGAAACTACTTTTTTGGTTTGATACAAGTGCTCTTTGTGTTTCCAGACCTGAATTTAGTTTAATTCTTGTTATACTTGAATCATCTGAAAATGCATCCAATGCAAGTTGTTGATGTATATCTGTGAACTTAATGTAACTGATGAAAATCTTGTTACCATTGTTTATATCATGACAATTTGTTTGTAGTGGTCTGGTCCTAAAATGTTCCTGTACATTAAAGTATTTGAATATCTTTTGTGCATATCTAGGAGTTCTTTTTTTTTTTTGTATTAATGCACTTGATATCTACAGTGCATTGCTTCAACAACTTTAGATGAACATAAGACACATTTTGATAAGGATAAAGCTTTAGCTCGACGATTCCAACCAGTTCTCATAAACGAACCTAGCCAGGTACTATCACAGTTCTTGTTCCAACGTTCTAATCATTTCATATTACTAATGTATGATTTTCTTTATATACATTTCTTGAAATGCTTCAGGAGGATGCTGTGAAGATCTTGCTGGGTTTACGTGAGAAATATGAGATCCATCACAAGTGTACATTCACATTAGAAGCCATAAATGCTGCAGTATACCTCTCAGCAAGATATATTCCAGATAGACATCTTCCTGATAAAGCAATTGATCTGATTGATGAAGCCGGTAGCAGAGCTCATATGGATGCATTCAAGAAGAAGAAGGAAGAGCAGATTTCTGTGCTCTCAAAGTCACCCGAAGAATACTGGCGAGAGATTAGAGCTGTCCAGGCAATGCATGACATGGTAAACAACTTTACTGATGCACAAGACTATGTCTTCAAATCTCTGATCTCTGTTCTGATTTTGTTTCCTGGTCCAAGGACCTTTTGGTAGTTTCTACAGTATGTTTAAGTTATGTTTTGGCCATTCTAGCATCACCATTTTAGTGTCGTACATATTAAAAATTCATAGTATAACTCAGAAAAACTGCGAACGGATCAGATTATGAACTTTATATAAATTAATACAGAAAACATAATATATACATGAAGGTTGGGAACTTTATATAAATAATATATTTCAAATCTAAGGTATTTTCAGATTATGAACTTTATATAAATTAATACATTCATGAAGATTGGGATACTCTCTGTTACAGTGGGATAAGTAAATACCATGGAACTCTGTTTTGGATTCAGTCCATTTCGTTGAAAATCAAAACCGTGCCCGCCTCAAGTTATATTTTCTAATGAAAAGTGATTTCCTGTTATCCATTCAGGTGTTGGCAAATAAAACTACAGATGATTCTGAAACTTTGGTTGATGTCAAGGAGGTCTCAGAATTTTCTATCCCATACTCACAAGATTATGACGGGTACGATATGTGGCTTTTCTTAGTCGTTAATAAATTGGGCAGTCCTGAACTCTGAAAACTCAAAACTGTTTCTCTTGGGCTTTGCTTTGATGCAGACAAGTTATCGTTGGACCAGAGGAAATAGCCACAGTTGCTTCTCTTTGGTCAGGAATCCCAGTTCAGCAGCTCAATGCAGATGAAAGAAAGCTTCTAGTTGGCCTGGATGAGGAACTTAGAAAACGGGTAATTGGCCAGGATGATGCTGTGAATGCCATATCTCGAGCTGTGAAGCGATCACGTGTTGGCCTGAAGGATCCTGACAGACCTATTGCTGCAATGCTCTTCTGTGGCCCAACTGGAGTTGGTAAAACCGAGCTGACAAAAGCATTAGCAGCTTCCTACTTTGGATCGGTCTCTCTCTCTCTC